ATCATCATTTTACAGAATTTTCTCATTTTACATCAAAAGTTATTTTTAAAAATAGCACCATCTAAAAATAAAAATAAAAATAAAAATTGAAAATATCTCCTTATTCTTAATATATATATATATATATCTTTGTATATTACAACTCTACTTCCTCTACCTACTTTTTCTGCCGCTGATCCCTCTACCCTGTATCCTCCCCTAACACTCTTTCATTACTCCTACACACACTCCGCACCTCAACCGATCCATACGTTTGTCACGCCCCACTTTTATTACTCAAGTAATATTACTAAATCATTATTATAAATAATTTCAGAGATAACAAACTAAAGTCTCAATATCTTAATAAAGATAAATAAACGAAAATTCTGTCATTCGTATATGAAATAAATGCAACATGTGACATAATTAAATAAAATTGCCTGCAGGCTTACGTCATTACTCAAAAGAGAATGGGTTCAACCCTTTTACAACAACGACATTCAGCCAATAGTTAAGAGGCCCTGTGACCAACAGATAAAGAAGCTCCTCGATCTTGAACCACTTCTCGACATTTACCTGAAAAGGATTAGCAACGTGGGATGAACATAAAATCCAATAAGGATCCCAACATGATCTTTAATAATAACAACTACAGATAGTTATGATCATGAATGCTTTATGTCATATAATATACATATGTGTTGGTTTATACATGAAAATATACTTATATAGATAATTTTCTCAAAATCATTCAATTTATCCAACAATCACAAAACCGTTGACTTTTCTTTTTTCTTGTTACCTCTTTATTTTACATTTGCCAAACGATAATAAGTATTTGAAAATAAACCCACGAAAGCTAATTACTTTTCCCCAATTACTGAACTTACACCCAATTCTACATTACAATTTCCGAATTGAAGTATCCTAAACGAACATGAAGACGATACATATAAAATACTCCTTGCATAACCATATAAGACAATTGACATCCTCCACGAAATAATCATCACCATGCATGAAACACATAAATAGAACTGAGATGATAATGAGAAACCTAACTATGTTCTACCTGCCTCAAGCACGGTAAGCTAATGATACACCTTTCCAATACTCACCCCAATTTGCCAGTCACAAGCTAGAAGGTAATGGTACCTCTGCTAAGTTCTCCAGGCACTAGCTGGAAGGTACTGGTACCCTCACATTCTTAGCGCAACTAATTTTCCAAGCGGTAGCTGGAAGGTAATGGTACCCTTTATTCTCAGCTCATGCACGTTTCTAACCATCACATAATTCAACAAACATAAATAACCCGAGTGTACTACATGCACATAATTTATTCAACATCATAATGTCATCCTCCACCGATGACCAAGCACAAAACCTCTAAGTATAAATATATAAACACACGTAATACGATGATCTGATACTCATTTGACCTTAACGACATTGAAAAGTTTCAAAATCCAGCTTCAAGTTTAATTCTAGATTTACAATATGCCATGGTTTCTTCGTCTTATTTCTTTCTCTTTTCAAAATCAACTCTTTTATTTTCCAAATTAACACGCCCAATTCCTTTTCTTTCCAAAACCAAATTTCCACATTTCAATAAAACCACATCTATGATTTCCAAGCCACAACTCGACTTAGCTTAAGATGAATATCCAAAAAAAAAGAAAAAAAAAAATTCCATTACCAACATTGATTCTCCCTTTGTGCTATTAACACAATAACACAACTCAATATTAACAAAACACACACACTATTCAACTTTACCTCCTTTTTAATTCAATAGGTCAAATTATTAAATCAGTGCTTTCCCTTCCTCCCAGCATAAACACGTTGAACTACTCTCCAATTAACCCAAACAACCATTAATTTTACAATTCCAACCTTTAAACCCTAGATCCCCTTTATATGGTTTTCGAAAATTCAAAATGAACATGCTTTTTATGTTATGGAATAAAATCTACCACATGTCTATCTATAGACAAGGTATTGAAGATAAACAAAGGAATCCCTACCTCTTGAAGTGATGAGAGGAAAGCTGAAAAATCCACGGTGATGAACACACGATCCGTTTAGATTAAAATGAAGCCCTTGCGACCCTTTATGTTTTGGTCTAAGGGACTATGGGTCAAAGATGGGTAGAAGTAGGTGAAAACCAGATGGAAAGAGCTTGGAAGCTTAACAATGGCGGATGGAGAGAGAAGGGAGATGGCATCTTCGTTTATGTATAAGCAACAGTAGTTGTCAAACGAAGCTTGAGAGATTGTGATGGTGATTGGGGTTTTAATTGGAGTGGAATTGATGCCAGTGATCAGAATTGTACATCGATCGGATTGAGGGCTTTGTGACGAAGATGGAAAGAAGAGACAGAGAGAAGGATGTGTGTGTGTGTGTGTGAGAGAGAGAGAGAGAGAGAGAGAGAGAGGTTGTCAATTGACGACGACAGAGGTGGTGATAGTTGGTCGGCGACGATAGAGAAAAAAGATGAGAGACAAAGAGAGGAAGAGAAGAGAGAGAGAGGTGGTCAACGTGGGGTTTGAAGCGTAATTCATGTGTATATATATGTATATACTTGGGGTAGTGTGGTCATTTTACAGAAGCTTGTCCTTATGGATAATGAAAATAAACGCCTAGACCTTTCACCAACGAAAATTTAATCTTGGACTTTTGGCCCGAACGCTCTATATTATTGTATCAAATATTCAGTGTTGGTTTGGTTTGGTTTGATTTTTTAAATGAGTTTTTTTATTTTTATTTTTGGTACTCGGTCTATAATTTTGAATTTTTTTACGCAAAAGTCTACACTTTAAAATATTTTATCTATAAGAACAAACACCTGCAAATGATCAAACTGTCCATGTATATATATATGGTATATACGATTAAACCAAACCCTCTCACATTCTTTTCCCTCCCCTCTCTTTTTCTTCTCTCTTCTTTCTCTTCTTCATCAATTGACTACCTATCTAGGTCTTTGCTACCGCCGTCTTCTTCGAGATTCACGAACTCTGGCGACGAAGAACGAAGAACTCCGTCTCTTTTCCCTGCCACCGCATATGGTGTTTGTCAGTGTTCTCAGTTGCAGATGGTGTTCGCAAATTGATGGCATCACTATCTCTTTTTTCTTCTCATCTTCTTTCTCTCCTCCATTGCCCTCCTTTGTTGTTCCGCTGCTACAACAATCAATCTATTCAATTTTACCGCCACCTTTTCCGTATTACCGATCTCTCTCTCTCTCTCTCTAGATCTGGCAAGGGGATTATGTCGATAGTGGTAGATTTGGATTAATAGAGAACGCTACTGATCTGAGTTGAAAAATCTTTTGTTGTTCTTAGAGATTCAAATTTGCCTTGTGCCATGTTATTGTTGTTGATGATAATTTGTCAATGACTTTTTCTTGATCTCTATCTCTACTTATTTTTCAGCCATTTGTTGAGTATTGGTAATAAGTTTGGATGAAAATTGAGATTTTGTGGAGAAGGCCATCGATCTGTTCAATTGAACAAATCTCAAATGATGATGATGTCACTGTGGTGATCTAGTGTTTATTTTATTTTTTATTTTTGTTGTTGTTGATGATGAAGAAGAAACAGATTGCATAGATTAAAAAAAAAAATTAACAAATTAAAAATTTTAGACAGATTTGTTCAAAATTTGAATAGATAATAAATTTTGAATAGATTTGTTCAAAATTTGAACATATAGTGGCTTTGTGTATTTGAATAACAAAGATTTCAACAGATAAAAAATCAACCAATTGAATTCAGGGAAAAATTTAAACAGTTAATAAAATTTGAATAGATAGATTTAAACAAATAAGTGAAAAAATTAAATAGAAAATAAAATTTAGAGAGATTTGAATAGATAATGGAAAAAATTTGAATAAATAGTCAAAAAATTTGAATAGATAAAAAATAATTTGAATAAATAGATATAAATTTGAATAGATAGTCAAAAAGTTAAATAGATAAAAAAAAAGTCAACCGATAAATTAAGGAGTAAAATTGAAAATAAAACATCCTTCAAAATAATAAAAGGACTTCTCACCAAACTATTTCACAAAGAGTGAATCTCTCACCAACAAAAAATATTCACTGGACCTAATCCTTTATACCTTCCTTAGATTGGACATTTTAATAATTTTATCTTTTTTTTAATTATTTAATTAATTGATTTTTTGATGCTTTAATCAATTTGTTTTTGCACTTTTTAATGCACCTAATTAATATGCATTTAATCTAATAAAAAGTAAAATAAATTCATAGAAATATTTAAAAATCACTAAAAATAAACAAAAAATTGAACAAAAAACTGTGAAAATTTATTACAAATTTTTGTTCGCTTTTAATGATTTTTTTTTCATATTTTAGCCTTTTTTTTTTAAATGCATCTAATCTTGATATATCTAAAAAATATTTTTAAAAAGAGACGAAAATATGAAAATACAAAAAATCGATAAATAAAAAAAATATCTATTTAAAAATAATTTCTATACTTTCTATGTCATTCTTTCAACATTAATGATCCTCTTGGTAAAAACGAAAGCATTGATGAATCGTATTTAATTCGTAATGAATTTTAAAAATGTACAGTATACGTATAATCGGTGATGCTGTATGTACCATTGATGTACACACTGTACCAACCAATGTTATGTCATTATTACTGACCACACTTATTATACAAATTATAAATACTCAAAATCTATAAAATTATGTCACATAATCTGTTAGTGTATTAGTTAGTATATTAATTGGTACATATAATATTATCAATAATGCTTGGGACCCCCTTTTGGGGGTCACCCCTCACCCCCCCTTTGCCACGTGGCAGGGGGTGATTGGTGGAGCAGGAAAAAAAAGAAAAAGAAAAAGAAAAGGTGACCAATGAGAGAGAGAGGGGGTCAAAGGGGGTGAGGAAAAAAGGGGGGATGAATCATTACTCTAATATTATTTATGTATAATTGATTACAGATGTACCAACTCTATGCAACAAAGAGATCTTTTATGGACATTCCAACAATGTATGTATATATATCAATCTGCAATCTGAAAACTGTGAAGTACTCGGCAAAAAACCAAACTAGCCTTTACTTTTTGTCACCAAACCACCATTGATCCATTGCATTCATTCATAACTGTTTTCTGCCAAATCAAAAACAATTACAGAACTCAAAAAACTTCCAAGATAAAAGAAATGAAGAAAGACCGGTGGGTAAAGAAAGAATAGTGTGCATCCCAATTGTCAAAACCTCCCACCCAAAAAGTATTTTAAATGTTTCAAAAACAAAGGAAAATATGCTTCATCAGGAAGGTGCTGGAAAGAAAATGCTGTTTATACATCCAATATCAGTTTCATCTGAAGCCGGTTCATCACGAGATAAAATCATCTGCATTAAAAAAGAATAATGCTTTTACACAACCTGCTATTTCCACAAGTGAAATGGAAGTTTTTTCTACTAATATATAGGCTGAGTTCTCAAATCTATCCACAATGAGTGAAAATCAATTTCTCATTCTCAAACTTTGATATGAAAATTACTTATGGATATTATAAGAATCTGAAACTTCGACGTGCTTTTTTAGACTTGCCTGTTGCTGCCATTTAGGAGAACAAGACAAACAGGATCCTGGGATGAGAGATAGAATAGCTGTTGGACAATGTAGGCGCATGTTGTGATGCTGGAAAAAATGAAGCGAAAATTATCAGTACTAACTTCAAAAGCATTATAAGAAATACTTTGGGAACTTGGGTATTTTAATCGAAATTTTAAATTTTTGGCTATTTTAGCCTAACTAAAAAATTATCTTTGAGATGATGCTGCTTTTTTTTTTTTTTTTAAGTTGATTTAATGATGTGAGAGAATAAGTGAAACGATTATAGTTTTGATGTAACATTTGTCCTATTGACTATTTTAGCCTATTTTATTTTTATAAACAATAGCCAAAAAGACTCCCAACCTAAGTTCTCAAACACCCCTATATATGATGCTGTATAATACCACTATTCCAGTTATAAAATAACTGCATAACGATTGCTTTTTTTTGCACATAAGCTGCTTATCCTTTCTAATGAACAGTATCCTGAATGTGCATATTCACTAATGCAGATAGATAATTAATTGTCTATCTATTTATGGTTACTGTAAGAAAAATAAGTACTAAGTTTGTAGAAGAAGAAGAAGAAAACAGGTTAGATAAAGTGACATGTAATTACCAAAAATGTATCTGTGCAAGAGATCATGTAATCAGGGGTGGAGCTAGGATTTCAACGTATGTGGTGGCACCCGCTGAGTGGACAGTGAGTCAACCAGGTCAGTTTAAATCTTTCAAATTTTTTTTATTTAATATAGGTATACCACATGATTGAATGATAAAATCTTAACCTAACAATCTTGAGATTATAATTTTAAGTCACAGGACAACCACTTAACACACTACGCTAATACTGTGTTTGATTGGAGAATTTGGGAAGGGATTTGGAAATAGAATGGGAAAAGGAAAGAGAAAATGGGGGTGAAATATAAATAAGTCTCCGTTTGAGAAGTGGGTTGGCTTTTTGACTTTTTTGGCTATTTTAGCCCGGGTTAAAAAGCTTTGTTTGGGAATGACTTTTTGACTTTTTTGACTTTTTTTGTGAAAGAAGAGTGTAATGATTATGGGTTGGATGTGATATTTTGTTTGTTGTGGCTAAAATAGCCTATTTTGTCTTTCGTGGCTAAAATAGCTCCAAACCGCCTTGCCAAACGGACCCTAAAATATACCTATATTTCACCTAGTTTCACACACTTTTTCCCCTTTCTCTTTCCGAATCCCTACGTTAGGTGTCCAAACTTTTCCCTCTCAAACACACATTAATATATATTAATTGAGAATTTATTTTTATTTTTTATTATTTTTTTTATAGGTATACCACATATTAAAAAACATTGCAATAAACAAGCAATTTAGTTTACTTGATTGACTTGAAATCATATTAAACCGAAAATAAAAAAAATAAAACTAAAAGCAGTAAAATTATGTTACAGAAAATACATTGGTCTCTTGTGTGGATTTCTATAATTTTTCAATCAAATCAAACCACTGGTGAATTTTTACGGGCCCAAGGCATTTTGAATAATATACCAATAATGAGAAGTGGGTAGCAAGTCTAAATCGATTTTTTAACATGAGGCTGAATTGAATGTTTTAAGGACATTTCATAAGGCCTCGTTTGGGAATCTTTCGTTTTAGTTAAAAAATCAAAAAATTATTAAATTAGCCAAAAAATCAACAATCCATACCAAAAAGTCAAAGATTCTCTTTTCTCTTACTTTTTGCACATCTTTTCGTAAAAAGCCAAAGAGTCATCCCGAACATACTAGTTTTTTTTAGCTCATATTTTAGTCAAATAGCCAAAAAGTTACTAAATTAGCCTGTTCCCAAACGAGGCCTAAGGTCATGTTTATTTGGACGGACTAAATAAAAGAGAATTATAATCTATCGGACTATTAATCTTGAGATATATAGTTCCTAGATTATTTGGTTAGAAATGATGTGTATCTCATGTTTATTTTCTCATGAGATTAGATATCTGGAAATGACGATCTTATTAAATCCAAGAATTGATTGGGATATTATAAAGAATGATAAATACTCAAAAGACTATTTTACCCTTTTCAATTATTTACTAAGTAATAACAATGTTAAACCCATCTTTAATATTTTAATTCCTTTTGGCTGGATTAAATAAAATTTTATTTCATTTTATTTTTTTAAAAATTAAATAAATTTATTTTTAAAAATAATGAAATTAAATAAAATATCAATAAAAATTTAACATTTAAATATAATACATAATTAAATCAAATACTTGGAGGGCAAATATATCATTTTTACCATTTAATTATCCCAACAATTCTATCCCATATACAATAGTCCAACATATGATGGATTGATAGTCCAACCAGACTCTTAATCTGGCCTACCAATTTGAAACCAAACAACAAATTCCATGATTTAAAGAGCTATTACATGGGTTCCAAAAAATTTTAAGGGTAGCTTTACATAAAAGTAGGATTTCTCAAATTATTACACTGATACAAGGTTAATACAATGGACTGGTTTATAATCATGGGTAATCCCAAGAATTATACTCATTATTTTAAGGCCATATGAATAGTTTTAAGGTATAACAACATAGTATGTCATATGTTGAGCATAAAAACAATAACGAGGCCCAAGGCATAATGATATACAAATTTTTGGTAAATCCACATCATGATGTGAAAAATTCATTAAGGCCGCCAAGTTTGGCATGATTGAAAAAAGACAAAAAGTCAAAAAGTCACTATCCTATTTAAGTCACATCATTTTATTTAAGTCACATCACCTCTCTAACACATCACTTCAAACCCAACCCAAATCCAACCCACATTTCATAAAAAGTCAAAAAGTGCACTTATTTAGTCTTCCCAAACTAGGCCTAAATATTATCAGGTCATTAGTCGACCTAACATTTTAACTGCCCAAATTGATATTAGCACAAAGAAATTCTGGAACCTTATAGGCCAAACATTTATAACACATCAAAACCAGTTCAACAATAAGCCAAGATTTTTATCCATATTATCAATGATCATATAACCAACAAAAAGGAAGACTAATTTCAAATAAGTGATAGAAGGATGGGGATTTCTAATTATGTTAATCCTAATTCCATGATTACATATATTATAAATAAGAAAAGACTCTAGCAGTTCTTACTTTATGATATATGAATTTAAAAAACAGCATGGTAGCATTAGCAGATGAAATTTCTTTCTTGGTACTGAAATTGGATAATGGTTGGAATACAAATTCATGAAAGGATGATTACCTGCCAAAACATACCAATAAAACTATCCAAATGAATGCACTTATCCAACTTGACTCTTTGTATGCTACCCAAACCTGAAAAAAGCATACGTAAGCAACCAAAGATAATATAATTAAATCTATACATTCACACACATCTCATGATACGCGAACACACAGATAGACATACAGACAACTTGTTGACACATAATAACAGTTAGAAAGTTGGCTACTTGACATCAAATTCTACAGAGGTACAGAGATTCTGTCTATGTATGTCTTTAAATGTTGAAACCAAGATCACCAGATGTCGGGGCAAAGGGATGCCACTGTATTATTGAAGTGCCTAATTTTCCTCCTTTTACCAAGTACTTTCAGAAAACTGGGTGACAGGCCTTACTGAATAAAATATCTGCCTATCCGGGGTAACTACGAGCAATAAAGAATTTATCGTAAAAATTCTTTTTCGTATTATCACACTCAATGCACAGATTATTGCCAAGAATTAACCTTGTTGATTCCCTTGCAGCTTAAAAAAGAGGTAGATTAATCTTCAAGCAGCAATAGAACTGAAAGGATGAAGTAACAGAGAGTTGACACATACCGATAGAGCCACGACATTGATATAGAAATCAATTAGCGTTGCTGTCATCCACCTGTAAACATATTACTATTAATAAATTCACATTGTACAGAAACTATGTACCTATACATAAATTTTGAAGGCAGATGCACTTGACAAATGCATGTGCACATATACATGGATGCCTGTGCACCCCGATTAAGGCAGTGCTTCTAGGATCACCGGCCAAGTTCTGATAAGCAATAACGAAGGGACGGAAAGAGATGTTCAAACAAATGACATACATCAGCATGTGATTCAATTATTCCAAAGCTATAGGTTTCAGGGATCAAGAAATGCATGATGTAAATAAGAACAAAAATATAATACGTTGCCGCTGGCCAATGATTGTCATCGTTGACACCTTAAAAGTTAAAACCACAATGATCAAAGGAGACCAGACACCTCAAAGACATAAGTTTTATGCACACTTTCTCATTGATCGAAGGAGACCAGACACCTCATCCATCACCATTAATACTGCCACCACATTTCTATCATAGCCATACTACTAAGTACTAACACCTTCACCCCCACCCCATCACCCACCAAATATTAAATATTTTAAGAAAAATGAAACAAGGAAGATGATTAGGTTTAACTACATCTTCATTCTTCTAAAACAATAGTCTGATTTACTGGATCCAAAATCAGAACGAAAAAACTTACGGTGTCAAAAGCTCTGTGCGAAATGGAGAGCCATCTGTCAAGAGAGTGTAAAGCAAAGTTCCCAGCATCAAAAAACCCAGAGCAGTGAAGATAATTCTTGTAGTTACAACAGAAAACCTCCTCTTGTGTTCCATTCCATCCCTAAAATAACAAAATTACTTAATGCATGAGAAAATCACATTATATGAGAATGAGTGCCAGAAAAGAATGAGGAAACATGCAAATACCAGGATGTTGCCCGGCAATAAAACAGAAAGGGCATGTTCACACAATAGTATGCAGTCATCTTATTCATTTTTAAAATCCTTGCATATATTCCTCTCATAAGTTCATAACCAAACAAGGGACTTTTGAGGCAATATGACCGAAGAAGGTAACTAAGAAATGAGTTACCTTAATATGCTTGAAAGATTACCAAATGCAGCAAACAACATTGTCTCTAGCATTGATGATATATTTCCAACTTCCATGAATACATCCAACAATATGTTTATACAACACTGTTCAAACTGGTGCAAATACACATATAGAAATAGATTCAGAATATAAAATTTTCTCACTTTCTTAACTCAATGTGGTAGAGAATTGTTTGTGGATTATTTATGAAATTTGGGCAGCAAATTAACTCAAAATGTGATTCGACTTCAAAAATATAACAATCCACATTTCTCTGTTCTCATTCACTGATAGCAAGACAATTCCTACATTCAACCAGTCAGGACCAACGTTCCAGAAAGATGATTGTTTTGGTATGTGGAATTCTAGGAACCATGGCTAAACCCAAGGTTCTAAAAAGCGGTTGCGGTCGCCGTAACGGTGGCGGTGACGCGGTTGCGGTTGCGGTTGCGGGGTGTAAAGGCCGTAGTGTAACGGTTGCGGTAACCGGAACCGTGAATTTTTTTATTTTTCGCACAATTTGAAAAAAACTTACCGATACGCATATTTTTTTTCCATGATCGTATTTATTGAGTTAAAAATAAATATTGATCAATTTTTGTAAATTTTTAAGTATGATGCAATATATTTCATATTTTTAAATCACTATAAACTGAGTTTTTTACATTTTATTTTAATAATTAATGACTTTATATTATACAAAAAATCAATCACTAACTATTATACATAAGATAAACAATGACAAAAGTAAGAGAATAAATAAGAAGCTAAATATATATATATATATATAAACCAAGCCAAATAGATAATGACCTCGTTTCTCTCTACCCGTCTCCGTCTCTCATTTCTCTCTACCTCATATATAGATAGACACACACAAACAAAATGGTTTAGTGATAGCAGCTGAATAGAATAGCATAGGTCTTACAGTTTCAACAAATCAATAACATGTTCTTCATCTTCCCTCTTCTCTCTCTCTATCTCTTGCTCCTCCATTTTCTCTCCTTATCTTCCCTCTTCTCTCTATCCCTCTTCCCCTATTTTCATCTTTTTTTTGTGTGTTTTTTCGAAAGAAACAGTTTGAAACCGTTACGTAACGATGCGTAACAGGCCGTTACGACACCGTTACGACCGCTATGGCGGCCACTACGGCCGACACACCTGTGAATCTCAATCACACTGCAAAAGCGGCCGTAACGGGTGGCGGTAACCGCCAAAACCGTTACGTAACGGCGTTACGTAACGGTTGCGGCCGCTTTTTAAAACCTTGGCTAAACCTCAACAAGCAGGTCAATATGCCCACTGAGGATATTATATCATGTTTCTCCTACTCAATGCAAGTAAATAAATACGGTCTATTGAAAGATAATGGAGAAAAGCTTCACTCTCAAATACTATGAAAGACAGTAGAAGAGAAACCAATAATTGAATCCCAAACCCAAGCTTCACTCTCAAACACTATGAAAGACAGTAGAAGAGAAATCAATAATTGAATCCCAAACCCTGCTGTAAAGCGGGAGTCTTGTGCTGAGTACGACCTTATTTAATTGACAATAAGCTATGATCTAAATATGAATCAACCACTAATTTTCTTTTTTTCATTATTAATCAAAGTTTTTGGTACTTACTTGCTAGGGCGTCGCATTAAAACGTAATATATTGGATCTTCTGAAGATTCTCCAATTGACAATTTCAGCAATTGCAAAACAATGTAACAACATGTTGTAATGCTGTAAAAAAAACAAGCAACTTCACATCAAATCTGTAACAAAGATCTAGATTTCACTATGCAAGGAATATTATAGAAGTATACGATGAGGCAACATTGGTCTATTGCATTGGCTATCTCAAAAATAAAATAAGGTAATAATCAAAATTTAAAAGTTGTGGGCAACTTAGAACAACATCATTTGGTTTTGAACAGTTTGACAAGTAGACTTATGGTAGTTAGGTTAAAAACCAATGTGCAGGATAACTAGGAAAAATGGTCAAATTCCTGCTAATAAAAAAATAAGAGAACTAAATTAAACAATTAAAAGAATGAAAATTATAACTAAAATTTTCCAATTATTACCCAATTGGAACTACCATAATGGCAATTTGCACAATGTTATTCCAATTAATGCTACCATTTTCTCTAAGAAAAAATATGACAAGAGAAAAGAGAATATTTTGCCTTTAAAGCTAGGAGTGGCATCTATTTAGTGAAGAAGTTGGTGACAAGAATAATTTGAGGTTGAGAAATATAGTGGTTTTTTTTTTTTTTTTTTTTTTTTTAAATTGTTAAAAAAGGAAAATAAAAGGAAGCAGCCTTCTCCTCACCCTACATTTTGAAAATATTAGATTCTTAATAAAAAAATCCCTGCTTATCAGACCTTACTGTCAGTGAAAACTGGAAGTACAATAAAAAGAACAGAAAGAAGCCTACCTTCCAAAACATACTAGCAGAACTACCCAAAGTGATGCACTGATCCAGTTCGATTCCTTGTAGGAAACCCAAGCCTGATACGATGAGCAGACAAGTACATAAGAGACCACTTCCTTTGAAAAGAAAAGAAAAATACTGATTATCAATTTCCAGACAAATTCTTTGGGAACGGTATGTTTTAACCTTTATTCCAAAGTATGCACATCTCTAAAGGATTTCAATTTACAAGTGAAACAAACCACTTATTCCTCCACACTGTAGCAGCCCCAAAAAAGACTAAAGAGAAAATTATGAAAAAGGAAAGATGGAACAGAACCGATGAACAGAGATAATTTGTGATGCATTACTTGTATCTTCGATGGAAATATAAAAATAATATCACAATTCATGCATTTAATTTTCCTGTACATGGGCAAATGTTTTGCAAACGGTAAGGACATTATAAACAAGAACATGCATATCCATACTTTAGAATCCAATTATTTCAACTTTGTTCCAACTCTAGACCACATTTCACTGCAGTGGTATAAATCTGAGTTCGTAAATTTCAAAACTTCATTTAGTTTGCGTTTCAAGGGCTGCTTGGCTCAACGGTTAGGCTTGTCACTAGTGTCTCTGGTGGCTTAGGTTCGAGTCATGAAAATAGCCTCTCAAAAATTGGGGGTAAGTCTATGTACATCTTGCCCTCTCCAGAGCCCACTTTAGGGGGAGGCTTGTGGACTGAGTCCGCCATTATTTAGGTTGTGTTTGAACTTGTGGATCATTAAAGGTTTATGGATCCAATGTTTTTTTAATGTAAAACATTATATTATAGATTTCAGTAATAACCTAAAATCTTCATATGAATAGATTTGAATTACAGTGTAAGCAATCCACCCCAAAAAGGATTTTAACAACACAAGAATCCTTATGAATATCTCTCCTCCACCTCTACTCAATTCTCCTGCTGGTATTTCAATACAACACAAATAGCTAAGCCTCCTAAATTTTTGTTTATCTTTACCTTACAACCCTTCATTTCAAATTCATCCATCCAAAAGCAACCTTAACCCATTTTCCAAGTGCAAGAAATATAAAGAAGTATAAACTTCAACAATTAAATTCAAAACCAAATGGTAAAAGTCGCCAACTTTCAGAAATTCCTCATTAGATAGTCGAAGATAGCATTAGGTGAACAACAAAAAAACACATATGTGATCTTTGATCATTTAGCGATATATGATATCCTTTCATACCCCTATAGCAATGACATTAATATAGAAATCAATCAAGGTTGCCACCATCCACCTGCAACAAAATTTCATATACCAAAATTTATCAGAATGATATTACTCAGAATCTCTTAATAATGCAAGCCATCAAATCCACAAGATGAGTATAATCTTAGACGAAAATCATTTTTCCAAAAAGTAACAACTCTGAACAAGCCAACAAACTGAGGAAGTTACACGACAATAGCAACACCAACAGTTTATAAGCCATTAATTTCCATTGCGCATGGATGAATGATGGAGGAAGAACATTATAGTGTTAGTCATAAAAGTAAAAAACCTGAATACTACCTACTATTCTCAAGATAAAGCATGCAATGGTGTAATTGGCTTTAAAAAAAAAATCAATCAATCATAATAAGCTCGTAATAACTAGGATTTTTCTTAAGTATAAAATTAGTTTCAAATCACTTCTTCTCATCGACTTCCACATTAGGGCTTGCAGACAAATTCTTGAGAACTTCAAAACGTTTCAAGCAAAATTGAATCAAACAAAGTATTTGTAATGCAACATAATATTAATGTAAATCAATGAATATGATGGTTAAGATTAATGGACAAAAAAAACTCCTCAGATTGACATTTGAAGCACCTTGATCAAACACCCCTAGGCCAAGAAATTGAATCCATGTGGTTGAATTTGTGTATTTGCTTGGTGGCAATTGTTAAATGTCAAGGAAAACAAGTCAATCCATAAAGCCAACTTCAGGTATTCAGGATGTTGTGGGTGTATCTCGAATTCAGCTTGGATTTTGCTTATCACCCGTTGATGACACGCACAACCTGATTAATGGGCAAATAGTATTTGTATTTGGGTATATTTTGTCCCAGTTTGCTATTTTCAGATCCTTGTATACATATAATGTTTTATTTTGGAGTTCGATCTTTTCAGCTTTTGTAACAAAGGTTTGTTGAGAGAGAGCCGGCTCATTGTAATTTCTACTTTCATAGGGAAACCCCTTGACCATTTTTTGACTAAGACTTACCGCCAAGCCAAGTAAATCCTTTGTGTGCTTGTTTGTTTGTTCTGGTTTAACTTTTCTCAATTTTGCCCTTTCCATAACATACGAAACGGCTTTGATTGTTTAATTGTTGTTGTTGTGTTTTTATATTTTTACAGTTACATATTTTCTTCCCTTTTTTAAAAATAACACTGAAATCCAAAATAAAGTGGAATTTGATCTTAGGTCTTTGGTATAGTATCATCATTGAGTGACTATACCGACTAAATTAGTCAGTTATACCATCTCCGACCCTTAGATATTTCAATAAATTTGAATTTGATGAAAAAGCTTACTTTTTGGGCTCCAACCATATTATCAAACTCATATTAAATGAAGACAAAATCAAAACTCTTATCAAATTAAAGAATGATTTAACTTTTCATCAAATTTCACAAGTGACAGTTGAGGGATGATTGAGTGGACATCCAGTCGGTCAACCAGGTGGATGACCAGCCAGATAACGGGTGGACGATCGGATTGGAAAGATTTGATGAAAATTTACTCTGGGCCAGATGAGCCGTCAGGTTTGATGAAACTATTGGAATGCATCAAACTTTTACTCAAATTTTTATTCAAATTTGATGAAAATGCTCTTAGCACCTTCAATTTTATTGTTTATTAGTTCTACTACTACTTCTATCTACGCTACAAGGGTTTGGATTTTTTGTTCTTTGAAATGTTCGCGTATCAGTGCTTGAATTCGATCGGATTCGCAAACAAGCTTCAGACTTCAGAAAAAAAAAACGATACAAATACTCATGTGCACACAGATAGATAGAGAGAGAGAGAGAGAGAGCATACGGGGTGAGAAGGTCTTTACGGAAAGGGAGGCCATCGAGGGAGAGAGTGTAAATGAGAGTGGCCACCATCACACATCCCAATACGCAAAATACAGTTTTCAACCCAATTGCCACCGATATTGCCATTGTTCCCTCTCTCTCTGCTTGCTCTGTGTGTGTGTCTTGTGTTGTGTATGAGAGAGAGAGAGAGAGAGAGAATGAAGTGTGAGCGACGACGAAAATGTGAGAAGGTCATGAGTCCACGTCTTCAGTATTCGAACGAACGGACAGGAAAATAGACGACGCCGTCTTCCACAAGCCAACACTTAAACGGCACCGTGTTAAGCGCCACCATTTGTCTTCTACACTAAACCCGTTTGTTTTCAAAAGTGGAATGAATGAGATTGACAGTGATAGGATTAATAATAAGAAAATTATTAATGAGGAAATTAAATAAAATTATATTTACTTTGATAATAATTATTAGTGTAGGAATTATTAAATTATTTTTATATAAAATAATAAAATAAACAAAAAATATAAAAACATTAAACATTAATGTTTTAAAAAAATGTCCAATAATAAAAAAATTTTAAAAAATAAAAATAAAATAAAAAATTTTCAGAAAAAATAAAACAAATAAAATAATAATTTTTATTTAACAAAAAAATACAAAAAATTAAACATTAATGTTCAAAAAAAAATGCCCAACATGTAAAAAATAAAATAAAAATAAATAAAAAATTTCTAGTCGGCGGACTATTTTTTAACAGTAAAAAATTTTTAGTCCGTCCGACTATTTTTCTAATACCAAGTCTTGGAGGCCCATCCAAATCTCCTTGGGAAGGCCCATCCTAATCCGGAGCTCACCATCAATCCCCTCCCCATCTTCCAAAAGAAACACAATATTAGTGGGTCTTACCTCACTACCAATCCCAATCCCCCCTCTAACTCTTCAAACAAACGGGGCCTAAATCAAACCGTTTTTCAAATCCGTTCGAAATGGGTGGAGGCTTTTTTTAGTCCAAAACCGAGTTGGATTAAAACCATATCCCAAATCAAAGAAAAGAAAATGAAAAAACGCTCCAGCAGAAAATATTTTTTTTTATGTTTGAAGGTGGTGGTGGTGGTGGTGGTGGAACGGAGGCAGAGGTGGCGGGGCGACGACAGCGGTGAGCATGGTGATGGTGATGGTGATGGTAAAGATGAAAGTAATGATGATAGTGTTATGACATTGATAAAATATTAGTTCGAAATTTTTTTTCTATCCTTTAAAATGAAAAATATTTTCTACCAAAATAAATTTATTTTTCATTTACTATAAAAAATATTTTCTGTTAATTTTCTTTTCTATTATACCAAACACCAAAAAAATATTTTTTAGAAAATGATTTCTATCCAAACAAATGGAGCGTAAATTTTTATCTTTTATTTTTATAAATTACATTGAAATTAGAATATAATTCCCAAAATGAAAGAAAGACTCAGGTCGAGGGAATTAATTACCTGACTTATTAACAATCTCACGTAACTGAAATAAGCAGTCTCATAGGAGCATCCGCATCAGGAAGCTAATGTAGAGACATCAGTTCATCAGTCTTAATAAATTTTTTATAAATTAAGGTTTTGTTAAATTTACTACAGTATCTCAACAAAAATAAAGAGGCACGGTTCATTAGCTACATTATTTTTTATTATATTTTCTGAAGCAAATTTGGGTCAAAATCTTTAAACCAGTCATCCACTTGGATGTCCTCCCGGATATCCAATCGGATGTCCCGTGAGTGCCTGTAACAAAAGAAAAAAAATGTCAAAAATTAGTCTAATCGGTCGACCGAGTAGTCGACCGGCCAATCAACTGACCGGTCGACCGGTCAAAAGCATTTTTTTTTTTTAAGAATTATTTTGTGATGCCTCATCAATTTAATAATTTAAAAAAAATAACAAATACAATAAGAAATTAATATTTTAATAAAATTGAGTTAAAATAGAGAGTCTGATGCAGTAAATACTAAAAAAGTAACTAGTTAAAATAGAAAAAATGAATTTTGGATTAAATTAACCTAAAAATTTGGAGAGGCATATGCAGATGCTCTAAAGAAGATTAATTGTTAATCCAATCTCATAAATTTGAATGTGAAAAGACTATTGCCCCTATTTTATAAAATGGAGAAGCTTCTCAATGGTTGAAAAAATCAATTGGATTCTGTAGGTCCACTATGGTAGGATTTGTTGAATGTTTTATTTTTGCAAAAAATTACATTAATCAGATATGAATAGTCACTTGATCAGATCACATTTGTGTCAACACTTTATTTTTAAATTCATATTTACCATTGACACAAATGTAATTTAATCAAATAATTATCAATATCCGATCAATGTGATTATTGACACAAATAAAATACTTGACAAGTTCTACACATTAAACAATTTGAATTATTAATATAGACTTCGTGGCAGGCTTATGAAACCCAACAACACCTTCCCGTCTGATATAGACCGGAAGGAAGCCATCCCTTTTACAAAAGCATAACAAGTCATCTTATATATAACAAAAAATGTAACACAATTTTATAAATTTAATGAACCTAATTTATCTTACATCATCAATCTAATACTACCATACTAGTAATCCCATTAATCACTGTGCTCATAATCATAATCATTAGCATTATCTTAATCAACCTAATTCAAGAATCAAACACCAGTCAATTGGACTAAACCTTTCAATTCAAGGATGGGAGTCATTAGATAAACTTATTGTGCATTTGGCATTAGTATAGGCTTTGAAAGTAGAAGACTAGATTAAGAAAATCCTAGTTTTAATATTTCAACTACTGGCCTGCCCTTCCAAACTATTTAAGCCCCGGTTTGGTTTTCTTGTTGGGACAAGCACATATGGACCCAAAAAAAAAAAAAAAAAAAATTACAAAATCACAAAATGACAAAACACTTGACTTTGGATGAAAAATTACCAAATTAACCCATATACAAACAAAAAGTAAAAAAAGCATCATTTCCAAGTGAAGGGCAATTTTGTCATTCCAATGCAAAAGAGCCAAACAAGAAAACTAAACAAACAAAAAAATTCCAAATTAAAAAAGTCAAAAAAGCCAAAAAATCAACATTACCAAACAACCCCTAAGTATTATTTAAGGTTCACAATTGGCTTCAATCCAATTGAAGTAAAACTGAAAAGTAGAAGTCAAATTGACAAATGTCAAAACTTGGAAATACAAGAAGTCAATTTGCATCAAAACTGAAAAAAAAAAAGAAAAAGAAAAAAGGTTAATCAAAATCCAATACAAAATTACACAACGTTGGAAACTTAAGTTTGACAAAGCAAGGCTACTTCTGAGAAAGAAAATAGAGCAAATAAACAAAAAAGTCAAAGTTGTAAGAGCTTAGTATACAGTGGGTACAAAAAAATGGGAATGAATCACAAGGACGACAAATAGGCAAAAAATTAGGCAACCAGAGGGTTGGTTGCAGATAAATCTGTCAAATCATTTACTAATTCCAATTCAACATGCACAGCCGCCTTGTTGCTCTGTTTCCGAAACAGCCTCGGGGATGCCCTGGAAGTATCTGAAAAATCAATATTAAAAGGAAAAAGAAAGAATTAGGAACGGAGAAAGGCTGTTCGGGCGTTACTACATCATAAGAAGAAACAATTCCATAGGATTCGAAGAACAAAAGTTGCATTTGGACTGGTAGATTTGAAACAAACTGATATATATTTGATTGTACCGTGAGTACAAAATGCAACAACCCTTAAAAATGGATTTAAGGGTCATATATAAGTGAATGTGAAAAAATAACAAGGGAGTTATTTGAAATCTGTTCCACTCGACTGTAGTTGTACAGCAAAAGAACTCGTTCATATCTTTGTTACCTTTCCTCAACTATCCTGATACAAGTTCAACAGCCAACCTATCCTAAACTTCAATTTGAAGGTTGAACCCCCTTATTTCAAATCCATCAAATCCAAAACACAACCTTACAAACCATACAAGTAGTATATCACAATACACATTTTTAATTAGTAGTAGGATATAAAACCAAGATGAAGACATATTGATCTCCAAAAGTGCCTTGAAGATCCTACATTTTACATTAATTGGTTTCTTTCCATCTCTTTCCCTTTTTTGCCCCCACGTTACGTTGGATAACTTGATATACAATATTGGGTTCATTTCCTAGCAGCTTACGCTCTTTTGGAATTAGTGTAATCCAACACAGTATTAGAACTCTAATTTTGAGAGATCTTAAAGTTTTAAGTCTCTCCATTTGTACGTGGTCCCCTGTTTCGTTATGTTTGTTCCTTTAAACTTTGGTTGGTGGGTTGTTTTAAGTCTCTCCATTTGTACGTGGTCCCCTGTTTCGTTATGTTTGTTCCTTTAAACTTTGGTTGGTGGGTTGTTTGTCTCTCCACGTGCAAGATGAGGTTGCACGTGAAGAAGGGAGTTGAATACCTTGATATACAATGTTGGGACCATATTCTTCAAACTTAAGCTTTTGGAATTAGTGGTGAATGTTAACAAACAGTTTGAAGAACCATGAGAATTATTCAACTCCATTGCATAACACACAAATTACTTCATGTGTATATGTGTGTGTGTCACCAAAATTACCATATATAAACATGTAATTTAAATACTATTCACAAACTAAAAACAACAATGATAACAACGAACGAAACAATAATACCACAACATTCACCAAACTGTTTTAGACAGATATTCTTGCATGTTTTGGCCAACACCCAATAAAATTTAATGAGTCCAATTTCAAATTATGCATTGGCCATTCTTACATGTTTTGGCCAACACCCACCCACTAAAATTTAACTAGACCAATTTCAAATTATGCATCAGCCACTACAATAAATTTAATATTGTAGTCCAGGTTCCACATGTATTATATTTTGAACTAAAGAAATTAGCTTCTTCATAAAAGACATCAATCTTGTAATACATCAATACATCAATCAATCTTTACCTTCACTTACTCCACTACACACTCCACTTCACCTAACCCACTATCTCCTCCACTACACCTACTACCACATTTTCTTCTATATATAGATTGTATAGGAATTGTAATTCAATCAATCTTGTAATACATCAATACATCAATCAATCTTTACCTTCACTTACTCCACTACACACTCCACTTCACCTAACCCACTATCTCCTCCACTACACCTACTACCACATTTTCTTCTATATATAGATTGTATAGGAATTGTAATTCAATCAATCTTGTAATACATCAATACATCAATCAATCTTTACCTTCACTTACTCCACTACACACTCCACTTCACCTAACCCACTATCTCCTCCACTACACCTACTACCACATTTTCTTCTATATATAGATTGTATAGGAATTGTAATTCAATCAATCTTGTAATACATCAATACATCAATCAATCTTTACCTTCACTTACTCCACTACACACTCCACTTCACCTAACCCACTATCTCCTCCACTACACCTACTACCACATTTTCTTCTATATATAGATTGTATAGGAATTGTAATTCAATCAATCTTGTAATACATCAATACATCAATCAATCTTTACCTTCACTTACTCCACTACACACTCCACTTCACCTAACCCACTATCTCCTCCACTACACCTACTACCACATTTTCTTCTATATATAGATTGTATAGGAATTGTAATTCAATCAATCTTGTAATACATCAATACATCAATCAATCTTTACCTTCACTTACTCCACTACACACTCCACTTCACCTAACCCACTATCTCCTCCACTACACCTACTACCACATTTTCTTCTATATATAGATTGTATAGGAATTGTAATTCAATCAATCTTGTAATACATCAATACATCAATCAATCTTTACCTTCACTTACTCCACTACACACTCCACTTCACCTAACCCACTATCTCCTCCACTACACCTACTACCACATTTTCTTCTATATATAGATTGTATAGGAATTGTAATTAATCAATCTTGTAACAATACAATCAATAATAATACATCAGTATTACTACACACTCCACTTCACCTACCTCTACTCCACTACACACTCCACTTCACCTAACCCACTATCTCCTCCACTACACCTACTACCACATTTTCTTCTATATATAGATTGTATAGGAATTGTAATCAATCAATCTTGTAATACATCAATACATCAATCAATCTTTACCTTCACTTACTCCACTACACACTCCACTTCACCTAACCCACTATCTCCTCCACTACACCTACTACCACATTTTCTTCTATATATAGATTGTATAGGAATTGTAATCAATCAATCTTGTAATACATCAATACATCAATCAATCTTTACCTTCACTTACTCCACTACACACTCCACTTCACCTAACCCACTATCACCTCCACTACACCTACTACCACATTTTCTTCTATATATAGATTGTATAGGAATTGTAATTAATCAATCTTGTAACAATACAATCAATAATAATTCACCTACTCCACTACACACTCCACTTCACCTACCTCCACTTCACCACACACTCCACTTCACCTAACCCACTATCACCTCCACTACACATACTACCACATTTTCTTCTATATATAGATTGTATAGGAATTGTAATTAATCAATCTTGTAATATAATCAATCAATCAATAATATACATCAATATATTTTACACCAACCTATCCTAAACTTCAATTTGAAGGTTGAACCCCCTTATTTCAAATCCATCAAATCCAAAACACAACCTTACAAACCATACAAGTAAAGTTTTAAGTCTCTCCATTTGTACGTGGTCCCCTGTTTCGTTATGTTTGTTCCTTTAAACTTTGGTTGGTGGGTTGTTTTAAGTCTCTCCATTTGTACGTGGTCCCCTGTTTCGTTATGTTTGTTCCTTTAAACTTTGGTTGGTGGGTTGTTTTAAGTCTCTCCATTTGTACGTGGTCCCCTGTTTCGTTATGTTTGTTCCTTTAAACTTTGGTTGGTGGGTTGTTTTAAGTCTCTCCATTTGTACGTGGTCCCCTGTTTCGTTATGTTTGTTCCTTTAAACTTTGGTTGGTGGGTTGTTTGTCTCTCCACGTGCAAGATGAGGTTGCACGTGAAGAAGGGAGTTGAATACCTTGATATACAATGTTGGGACTATATTCTTCAAACTTAAGCTTTTGGAATTAGTGGTGAATGTTAACAAACAGTTTGAAGAACCATGAGAATTAGGCCTAGTTTGGGAAGACAAAATAAGTGCACTTTTTGACTTTTTATGAAATATTGGTTGGGTTTGGATTAGGTTTGAAGTGATGTGTTAGAGAGGTGATGTGACTTAAATAAGATGATGTGACTTAAATAGGATAGTGACTTTTTGTCTTTTTTCAATCATGCCAAACTTGACCTTATTCAACTCCATTGCATAACACACAAATTACTTCATGTGTATATGTGTGTGTGTCACCAAAATTACCATTTATAAACATGTAACTTAAATACTATTCACGAACTAAAAACAACAATGATAATAACGAACGAAACAATAATACCACAACATTCACCAAACCGTTGTAGACAGATATTCTTGCATGTTTTGGCCAACACCCAATAAAATTTAATGAGACCAATTTCAAATTATGCATTGGCCATTCTTACATGTTTTGGCCAACACCCACCCACTAAAATTTAACTAGACCAATTTCAAATTATTCATCAGCCACTACAATAAATTTAATATTGTAGTCCAGGTTCCACATGTATTATATTTTGAACTAAAGAAATTAGCTTCTTCATAAAAGACTATACGCAAAACCACAGCAGCAATAAAGAACTTTGAACACTTAATCCAAGTTTACTACGAAATGCAAATATAGCATGCCTGATGAGACTAGGTGTCAATTCGAAAATCCCAAGATGTGAGTACTTTATTCTCTTGGTTTTCAATATCATTTGCATCAACAAATTACTCAAATGCCACATTCATAACTTGGTTATTTTGAGATAAACATATTAAATGCTCAAATGTGAAAACTTTTGGAGGCTTATAGTTAGAACATAGTGCCAAAGTTTGTTCTTTTATTGAGAAAGCCTTACTTTACCTCAGGCATATTAACTGCCTTCAACTCCTCTAAGGTAGTTGTTACAGCCTCTAATCTCTACCACAGAACAAGTATATCACCATTGCAATTTATCTAATTAGGATCAGCACTAAAATTTTGTCAATGAATACCATGACCACTCTAGTTATTACTGTTATAAAACTATCACAACTAAAACCATTCTATCATCACAATAAATTACATGGCTACCACAAGGTACTCCACCAACATGACAACTACAAGAATGATAGAGGTGGCCTTGGATGTGAAATAGATGAATCATGATAACCCACTAATTATGTCCTCCAACCTTTTCTACACACCTATACCTCATATAGACATTTCCTTTAATTATTCCGGAGCAGTCCCATGCCTGATTATTTGAACTTGCTTAGTTAAATCTCTGGTCCCCTTTTTAGCCCTTCATATCATAAAATTTGAGGCTGAGCGGCATAGCAACAAATATGTAGATTGATTTGACACGGAAAACAATATATCAGAGAAGTACTAAGGAACAACCAAGAATGATACAAAGAATATTGAGGAAGAACCCGGACTTGGGAAAATGAAGACAAATGTGAAGGAAGATACAAGGAGCATATATATTTAAGCAATACTGGGGATTTTTTTTTTCTAATATCAAAGCCTCATTTGAAAGTTTCATTAAGCAAGTCTCAATTAAATTTTTTCATTTCCAAGATGCGCTATATAGAAGTAAAAACGTGAGAGATCCACCAAAAAAGCAACCCAAAAAATATAAAGAGAAACTCCTTTCGAACATTTTACACAAAAATATTATTGAACAAAGATCCAGCAGATAAATTAGGGTAAATTACAAACACACACCTTGAGGTTTATTTAAATTACAAATTACCCTGTGATTCTAAAAATTATATTATGCTCCCTAAGGTTTCTAATTTCCATAACAAATAGATCATTTTCTTAATAAATTATGTTAGAATTTACCACTCACCTACTACCTCCACTATCTTTCTCCACACCTACCACCTCCACTATCACACACTCCACTACCATCCACCTCCACTATCACACACTCCACTACCATCTTCTCCTCTATATATAGGAATTGTAATATACAGAATATTATCAATCTTGTATTAATATATCAATCAATAATACATAAAATCTTACAAATTATCAAGTTAATTAACAGCTTTTAATAATGCTAAAATTTTATTTCAATTAATAATTGAGATAATTTTATTATTGTATAGGTGAACAGTTAGAAATTTTACTTTTTCAATTAATTTTGTTAAATAAAAAATTCTGACAGAGAGGTAATTGTAATTTTCCAAACCACAGGAGGGCAATTCGTATTTTAAGCAAACCTCAGGAGGTGTATTTGTAATTTACCTGATAAATCATAAAAATGGCGAAGAATAATAACCAAAACCAAATAACAAAACAAGCAAAAAATGTACACCTAAGCTGAGTCATCAATGGTGAACCTGTGACTATGCTCAGTTCCTGACATTTATTACTACTAAAAATTCTGCTTAGTTTCTAAAGCATCACTGCAGTACAAATTAGCAGCCATGCTTCGTTCAATAAGAGACACAGCATGCTTTTGGAAGTTCATGTATTGAAAATTTTCAGTATGACTCCACATTTTTGGTAATATTTTGGAGTAACATGTGAGATAGTTGTTATGTGAACTTCTGAAAGATGTGCTAGTCATTATGCCCCTTGGTTAAAAAACTCAATAGAAGTGTAGCACTTGTGAATCATTAGATGAGTGCATGCGTATGTGTATGTGTGTGTGTGTGTGTGTGTGTGTGTGTGAGAGAGAGAGAGAGAGAGAGAGAGAGAGATCCAAGTAAAAATTGGGGGATAACTACCAGATCTGAAAATTGAAATCTTTTCAAAGATGCGATTAAAAGACTCTCGGCAACAGATATCTCGGCTCTCGCATCGATTAAGAACGTAGCGAAATGCGCCAAAATTAAATTTTTTATTTTTATTTTTATGGTGTCTTGATTTATTTTCTTTGAGTTATTGATTGAAAATTCGTGAAAGAAACCGTTACTTTTTAAAAAAATCTCATTATGACTCCTCGAGCATAGGTGATGTTTCCTCTTGCCAGGCCGCAGCACATGCCACTGCCAAGGCCGCGGCGTAGGCCGCATCCCTGGCTTTGCACATCAACCTCGGCTAGCAAGCCATGCCACGGCCTTGACAAGCATGCCATGCCACAGCCTTGGCCAGTATTGTTCGCATATTATATTAAGTGATAGCATATGATATTCGCCGAAAGGCACACTAGGGTCTGTCTGTAATCACTGTAATCATTTTATGCACTCAGGGATAGCACTCAGGGATCATCTTGTAAATTGCATTTCTTGTAAACCCTAATCTTCTTTTATAAATAGGGGATGATATTCTATCATTCCCCAAGCTGGTTACCCAAGCTTCATGGTATCAGAGCTACACCTCTAGGGTTAGGGTTCAAAACCGTACCTAGTTGGATCATCTGCTTCGTCGATCTTCAGCCACCGTCGTCACTCCGCTTCGTCTTCATCAGCCGCTTCGTCTTCATCAGCCGATTGGATCATCTGCTTCGTCTTCGTTGATCTCCTGCTTCGTCGATCTCCTCAGGTCCTCAGCTCGTCTTCGTTTTCTCCTCAGCTCGTCGATCTCATCGCCCTCGTCGTCCTCAGCTCCTCTGTCGTCTCCGTCACTCGTCGCCCTCAGCTTCGTCACTCGTCGTCCTCACTGTGGTATGATACTCTAGTATATCTATAAATATATATATATATATATACTGATATATATATATAAATAGCCTGATATATATATTTATATATAAATATATGTATATATCCTGATATCTACATAAATCAATCAATATAAAAAAAAAAAAACAAAAAAAAAAAAAAAAAAAAAAAAAAAAAAAAAAAAAATACAAAAAAAAAAAAAAAAATAGTTAACCAATCCCTCCACCAGCTCAGTCGATAAAATTTCAATGGCATTGAGCTTGCCCTCACAGTCCTCTTGAGTGGCCTTGGAGACTTGGTAGTCAACAGTAAGGACTGGGAATTCTTCCTTGAACCTTCTCAAGGCCTCGTATTGCTCTGGATTAAAACCAGAGGCCCAAAGCAGTGTAGAAAGGACCAATTCTAGCTCAATACATCGGTCAGGGTGTACTAAATCCTTGAATGGAGTTGGGAGAATATTCTTAAAGATCTCATTTGCTTTTTCAATGACTTTGCAACTTGGTTGAGACACTGAAATGGTGCAAGCAAGAGCCTCAGGCTGGACAGTGGAAGCTTCTTACCTTTCAGGATTAACCTCAACCTCCAGCTCAGAGAAAAAGACATCCAGATCAATAAAATCATCTGCCGAATCTTTTACTTACTTTTTTGAAATCTCAGGACTGGAACTCTCGATAGCATCTTTGCTAATAGGATATGAGACCTAAAAATAATGCAGTTGAAATCAAGAGTATGTTCATCATTTTCAGCCGAAATGGGAATTAATTAGATAAATACCTTGTTGGAGAGAAGGGAGGAAAACACCATGACTGAGTAATTGGTTTGTTCCACTGGTTCTGTGGTTTCAGCTCCAATTGCCAAAGTCTTGGCATGGAGGGTAGTAGTTATTTCATCATCCTTAGTTGATGAATTTTCCTGTTTCACCAAAATCAAAAGGGTCTCATCATGTAAAGAACACCCAAGGTTAACCTTCTAGACTTCTAGGATCTTCTCTTTGGCTGATTCGTTCAGACTAGCATCTTTCTTTGTCTTCTTTAACCTATCTCTCTCTTCTACTTTATTGCTATTATTTTCTTCTTTTCTCTTCCTCTCTTTCTTATCCTTCCCTTCTTTCTTCTCCTTTCCTTCTTCCTCAGAAGGATTGAACTCTGATGAATCCTTCACACAAAGAGATCAGTTAGCACTAGATTCTATACATTGATGGCAGGGAAACTTAAGATAGCAACACTATATGTAGATTGGAATGAAGGAATCCAGGTTAGCACCGTGATTGATGGGTCTCTTTTGGTCTTTACCTTAACACTCTTCTTCCGTGGCTGCAGTTCCTTTGGAAGGACAACCTTCTGGGGGTCATGTGCATCATCATTGATCTCCACAGACTTAATTTTCAGGATCTTGGTGGAGATGGTATCTCACAAGGTGTGTGTGAACTTTTATGGATCAAATTATTGTTGAGTGATCTAGGTATTGCTCAGACGGACTCCATGCGATTATATTGTGATAATAAGGCCGCCATCAACATTGCTCATAATCCAGTTCAACATGACAGGACAAAACATGTTGAGATTGATCGCCACTTCATTAAGGAGAAACTCACTAGTGGTATCATTTGTACTCCCTTTGTCCAGTCTGGTGAACAACTTGCTGACATTCTCACCAAGGGAATTGGGAATAAACCATTTCATGACATCGTAGGCAAGCTGGGCATGAGAGATATCTTCGCACCAGCTTGAGGGGGAGTGTTCGCATATTATATTAAGTGATAGCATATGATATTCGCCGAAAGGCACACTAGGGTCTGTCTGTAATCACTGTAATCATTTTATGCACTCAGGGATAGCACTCAGGGATCATCTTGTAAATTGCATTTCTTGTAAACCCTAATCTTCTTTTATAAATAGGGGATGATATTCTATCATTCCCCAAGCTGGTTACCCAAGCTTCAAGTATAACATGGAGATGGGTACTCAGTAATTTAACATACAAGAGATCAAAGTATAAGACCATAAGACTGCCCTGCTTAATATCTAATATAGAGTCAAACCAATAATTACCATTGAGTCACATTAGAAGTCAGAATGATTAAAAGTGAGAGTACATGGAACTAATTCCTAACTCTCAAACATATCTTCCACTAGGAACATAGAAAACATGGAATGCAAACTTTCAACTAAAAGAAGTAATGCACCTAATAACTATTGAGGGAAGAAAAAGAAGGAAAAACATGTGTACAAAACAATTGCATCACGATGCACATACGCTTCACGAGAAGCATAATTCTTGGAAAGACTCCACTTCCTTATACTAATTTTCTATGACCTAAAAAATGGGAACTATAAGTAACAAATTATGTAATCATTAGCTATTAATTATTTTTTAATTGATTTTGTGCTTAAAGGATCCTTCGAAGTAAAAGATCTGTATACTTTATTCATAAGAATTATAAGCTAGAACGATCTTAATCCTAGCCTAATTGTAAAAATGACAAAGGAGTAACAAAAACTGCAAGCAACGACCAAGGGCAACAATTTTAAACCACCTTAATCAAATGAGGGAATACTATACTGTTTTAACATATTTAAGAAAAATAATAAGTGTTCTATAAGTAATATGCATCCTTTTACAAACAATTTATAACCTGTTAAACTGCTTTATCAAATAATGCAAGATCCAAATAGCAACATATGCCTACATTTTTACACAAGAAAAAAGCTATCACGTGCACAATCACAACAATTGGCAATATACAACAATGATATTTTTTTCAATACACATTAACCATATTCACCAACAAACAGAATTAATAATCAACAAATAACAATTTAAATATTGGTGCAAAGTCCTCAATATGAACTTACATATCCTGCTCATGCTCATTGGCTAGCGCAGTTTTGGCAATAGACAGGAACGCAGCATCAACATTGATATCCTCTTTCGCAGATGTCTCAAAGTAAGGTATGCCTTTTGAAGCACACCAGTCCCTTGCTTTTTTCTCAGAAACCTGTACATGGATATATTATTATTACCAAATGGAAAAGAACATAAAATATTTAAACATAACAGTCATTGTAATTCCTTACCACTCGACTATTTCCACCATCTATGTCAATCTTGTTTCCAAGTAATATAAATGGAAATGTCTTGGAATCAGGTGGATTTGCCTACATACAACACAGTGGAAATGAGCTAAAGCTAAGAAACAGCTTTAAAACCACAAGGAACTAACACCTATATTCTGAATACATGAATGTGCACGTAGAAGTCAATAAAAACATCAGAAAATGCAGGGAAACTGTGACTTAACATATAAACGCTTTGATCTAGAATTAGGATTTTTCACAGGCATTACATTTTCAGAGGATTCTGCTGATATGTCATATGTTTTTACCAAGTAGAAACGAATTATCCATTGGCTAAGGAGTTAAGCCCCACCTTAGCTTACACTCACATGCGATCTAACAGCAATCACTGAACTTTCCACATAGTGTCAAAAAGTAAAGGTGTTGTTGACACATTTTCCTCTTCAAACACACTTCTAGTACTTCCATTGCACCTCTTTCATTGGTTCATTTATAAGAAAATAGAAGAAAGAGAATTTGTCGATGAACAAGTTAAAAATAAGAAGAAAACAAGATAAGGCAATTGACACAAAAAATGGATGCTCATATACCCCTAAGCATTGCCACTCAAAGTTAAATGATACATGTCGGTAGAACAAGCGAAGTCAGCCTTCCAACTAGAAGTTTAAGAATAGAAATAAATATCTTTCTGGTGATTAAGCTTTATGTTCGAAATGAAATCACCTTACTTCGGTGGCAGAAATAATCACATATTCAGGTTAAGGATACAAGAAGATATGGGCACTGATAAAGAAAATTCCAAGTAAATAGAATATAAACAATCAAAGACTCTGGTATATCTAACATAGATGTTACATGGTCTTTGGTAGAACTCAACCCAAAAGGTAGCTCAAGAGGTGAGGGTGCCCTCACGCTTATATGCTTAACATTACTTTGGTACTCGGATGATGTGGGATTTTGCTTCACACCCTCCATCATGCCCAATGTGCTCACTTGAAAGCACATGCAACGTGTAGGCTAGGGACACGCACCCTATCCTTCCCTGAGTATTTCGGCTCTAATACCATGTTACACGGTCTTTAGTAGAACTCAACCCCAAAAGCTAGCTCAAGAGGTGAGGGTACCCTCATGCTTATATACTTAACATTATTTTAGTACTTGGACAATGTGGGAGTTCACTTCACAGTATTTATTGGGAATTAATCATATAAACTAAAAAAGTTATAAGATTTTTGAGAGAAACTATCTTTCTTTGATGATATTTCAAAAATTCTAAACTTCTAACTTATAATTGTCAAGATAAGAAAAAATCAGGGTTATACTCAGTGAATGGACTTGGGAGCAGACTCGACACAAGTTAGCCTCATTCTATCTGCTTTCTTCTGCTCTAAGTAGTAGAAGTATTTGAAATTTTTTATCATATTTTTCCTAACAATTTCTTTTCAATATACATTCAAATCAAATGCTATACTAGATATACCAAATTGATGTAGTCAGACAAGTGAACTAAAGTAACCAAGGAGGGTGTGATATTTGTTCAAACTTCAAAAAAAAAAAAAAAGAAAAAAAAAAAAAAGTTGTGCTCATTGCACAAGACTCCCAAAGGTCTGGCAGAGTTAGTAGGTAGCTAGCCATGCACCCACTTTTTGTGGAGAGGCTTATTCCCATAACTCCAACCAGCACCACATCACAAGGGCAGAAAGCACTTGCCATCGCTCAGCTCATGACATCAATTTATTCAATCCTTGAATTTGGAAGAAATTGTTTCCAAATTACTAGTATGTTTTGGAAGTTACTGGACATGTACACGAGCATCCAAGGAGTATCAGATGGATATGATCATACTATGACTATGTTTATGTATGCGTGCTTCATAGATCACTTCCCTTGATACATCTTTCTTGATAATACAATCAACCTTGAATTTAATATGAAGTTAAAAAAAAATACAAAAGGGAAAACAAACTTTTAATAATACGTTAAATTGGTTTTTCCTAAATAAATGTCATAATTTTAAAAAGCCTTAGGTAAAGCACAATGAGCCCTTTAAAACTCAAGAATCTAACCAACACAATCTGGATAAAAGGTAGTAAGTACTTTTAGGGAGGTTTCAGTTTCAAGCTTTGAACATAAACATCATTATAAATGCAACAACAAGAGCACTAGACAAGAAACTAGGCACTCAAATCCCAATCTTGAGAGGAATTTTGTTGACCAAAATGAGGTGACAATAGCAAGAGAAATGATACCATGACTATGCCCCTACTCATATCCAAAGATTAGATTGGTATAGCCAACTCTACCCTCCATGAAACTAAACAAGTTATGGCTAATAGTTCAAGTGTAATCGATCCAATTATGGAGTAAAATGCTCAGGGTGCCAATGAATAGGATGAACCAGTTAACTCCTTTGTAACAAATGACCAACAAAGAAAAAATCCAGTAGTACTAAATACTAATCTACTTCCATCTCCTAACCCAATTGCATTGAGTTACATAATTAAATTCGTAGTCCTAGACTTTCCAACTTTACCAAGAATGTATTTACAGGAAAAAAATGATCAGCTACAAACACCATAGCTACGATATTGTCAAATATATATAAAGAAGAAATCAACACAAATAAAACTCTGGCACAGAAGCACGGCATAATATCATCAACAATTATACGGTATATCCTAAATTAAACTCTAATTGACTCCTGTGCATAGTCCTAACCCAATTGCATTGAGTTACATAATTAAATTCGTAGTCCTAGACTTTCCAACTTTACCAAGAATGTATTTACAGGAAAAAAATGATCAGCTACAAACACCATAGCTACGATATTGTCAAATATATATAAAGAAGAAATCAACACAAATAAAACTCTGGCACAGAAGCACAGCATAATATCATCAACAATTATACGGTATATCCTAAATTAAACTCTAATTGACTCCTGTGATACAAAAAAGAAGATGACAGTCTAAAACAGCTCCATGTATTTTAACATTCTGATTTTTTTTAATTATTAATATCTTGTTAGGCATAATATGTAATTCAAACCATAGACCTCAGCAGTTGTTAAATGATGCATTCATACATTCAGCGAGAGACAGATAGATTAAAAGATAAGCACAATTACATTTATTTGCATGTATGTATGTACAAAGAGAGATACAATTACTGAATACAGCATACAGGGAAACAACCTGTCAACCCAAAACATGTAACACATATGAAAAGGTGTTACACTGCAGCAATGAGGTAAAGGAGGAATCAGAAAAAATACGACCACCTACTTGTTTGAGAAATTCTTCATGCCAATTGTCAAGAGTATCAAATGATCTCATGACATTAACATCGTAGACTAGAACACAACAATCTGCCCCTCTATAAAATGCTACACCAAGACTCTGAAACCTCTCCTGCCCCGCCGTGTCCCATATCTACCAAAGGAAAATGCACAGTCACGCAGGCAAAATATACCCTTGAGAATGAATAAGATCACCACTGACAACCAAAAATAAAATAAAAATATATATATATATATATATATATTACAGCAAACTCACTTGTAAGGTGACGAGCCTGTCGTCTATTTGTAGTTCTTTGGTGACAAAATCAGCCCCAATTGTAGCTTTATATTGCTGACTGAACTTCTTATGTACATATCTAATAAGTAGTTAATGACCCACAAATAAGCTAATTCAGAAAACACAATGCACCACAAATCACAAGCACAATGAGCTGAATTATAGTGGTCAGTCAAGATTTTGGAACTATTTCAATACATTCCAAGATCAAAACCCAGAAGAAAAATCAAAGCAATTTTCAAACCCACGAGAAAAACAAATGCCTTTGCAATTACCAATCAATCAACATTGAAATCTAGCAATATGATCCAGAATACACATTGAATTCGAAATAGAATGATAAAACATTGTAAAGATTGAGCTAAAATACAATGCGATCTCCAACAATTCAGGAACACAAAAAACACATTCGCAGACAATTTATATCTCACAGATCATCAAATCGTTACTTGGAAAGGATACTGATTCATCAATGACGTCTTACCAACCCTTGACCCAACAAAATCAATAAAAGTAAAAGAAAAATTAATCAAGAATAAACAAATCAAGTTGTAATTGAACCCTAGAATTATAAATTAACAACAAAAAAAATAAAGAAAAGGTTTGAAAGAATAGTACCCACTGTCGCCGAGGACGATGACCTTGAGCAAGGTTCGTCTACGCAACGACATGGCGAGCGAAAAGTCGAGAAGCTTTTTTCGAATCTGCGTCGAAAATTTAGAGAGAGAAAAGCGGTTCGTGTTTTATTTTTTTAGAGAGAGAGAAACAAACAGAAAAAAGGGGCGCCAACTTCGATTCTCTCTCTCTCTGGGGTACCGACAAACAAACATAACATATATTGCTACTAAACGCGCCGGCCAAATTCGTAGTTGAGCTTTTGTTGGAATTGTGGTTGGATTTTAATGATGGGGCCTGTGGCTATGTTTGATTTGGATAATTTTGAATAATTTAATGATGGTAACTTTAATTATTTTGTAAGGATTTGATTTCTGTTTTATTATCATTCTAATTTGAGAGAGCGCTTAGATTTTATAGGCTTATTTTGAAACTAAATTTAGGTCAAGTTTGGTAACATCAAAATAATTCATCTTTTTATCTTTTCATTTTTTTTCTATCACATCACCTCTCTACTTTTTTGTACATCTTTTCGTAAAAATACAAAAAGTACACTTATTTAGGTCATCCCAAACAACCCCTTAATTATTTGAATTGTTTATTTTTTAATATTTGTTTAATAAAATATTTATGTAAAAAATTAAATCAATATTTTTAATCATATATTTTTTTAAAAGAATACATGACAAATATGATTTCAAGAATAATTATTTATTTTTTGTAATACAAATTTAATTCAAATATATAGTCACTAATATCTAATTATTTTGATTTTTTACATAAATATTTTATTCAATAAATCTTAAAAAGTTAACAGTTCAAATCATCAAAATTGATTGCGCACTTGTAAAGTCCAAATGATCTCTTAAGTTGAGATGAATAATTAGAGAAAAGCCAAATCCATTTTGTAAGGAGTTATATACAAGTGAACAAAATTTGAAACCCGTTACTATTTTTAAATCAAACTTAAATAGTTAACTTTTCAGCTCGTTTATCATCCTTAGTCGTGGGGTTCATTATTGGTTTCATTATAACAATTCAATAACAATTAAAATGTCAAATCAATTTTTCTATTGATTTGTTTGTTTGTTTGTTTGTTTTTTTTTTTTTTTTCACAAAATCTACATAAAACAAGCTGGCCGTGGGAAGTAAGATATAAGTCGACTTTTTGATTTTTTTTTTTAAAATGTGTAAAAAAAAATAGAAAAGTGATGTGATACAAAAAAAAATTAAAAAATTACTTTTAACCTCTTTGCTAAAAGAGGCCTAAATCACAAAATCTACATGAAACAGTATATATAGTCTTACCAGGAAAAAAAAAAAAAAATCTATCGTGGATTAGGCGTATCTCAAATTTTAATTTAAATATGAATTTCATATTTCCATTTGTGGGCCTCATTACATGTCTTATTTCAATGATTAAAAAAATGATATCCTGCTTTTTATTTTATTTTATTTTTGGTACTCCGGAAAAAAAAAATGATATTAATGTCCTATTTCAATGATCCAAGTTATTTATTTTTTAGAATCCTTTGTTCATATCATCAATGAAAAAAAATATAAAAAATCGAGTTAGTTATTTTTTTAAAATGATATGCACAAAAAGTCTTAAATATGAACAATCTGAATTGTTAAAACAGGACTCATCATGGACCCCCATACAAGGTCATCATGTTCAAATAACTTGATAGGAAGCTCAATACCATAATCTCAAACATTATGCATGCAATATCATCAAATGAGAATAATCATGCACTACTAGAAAAATAACTTTTTGCATCTAGTTTTTTGAGACTGATTATTTGACTGTCGCAAAAAAAATTATTTACAACATCAGATCAACCGAAGCAAAAACTTATGAACCCACTCAGCCTAAGCAAAAACTTATGAACCCACTCAGCCTAAGTAAAAACTTGCGAGCCCACTATTGGGAACCCACTCAGCCCAATTTATATTCTGATTGTATAAAACTTGCCCTAGACTCTCATTTCCCCCAAATCTGATTTCACTTGATTATGTCTGAGTAAGAGAATCTGATTTCCCTTTCTCGATTTCGCTCTATAGATCACCATGGTCATCTGAAGAAGAGATCTCCAACGGTATGAACTCTCTCTCTCTCTCTCTTAGTGACTCTCTTCGAATCATTCATTCGTATTTCAACTTATTCATCTCTCTACTTCGATCACTTGCACTCACTGTAATTCGTATTCAACTTCTTCATCTAAACTTACTATAATTCGATCACTTTTTCGTCAATCTATTGATTTTTCCACAAGGCAGTCTGATTCTAGAAACAAGCTTTGGTTTGAATCAATCTTTCCTCATCTGCTACAAGTACAAGCTGAACCATTCAATTTTTAATTGTTATCGCTTCACCTTCCAATTCTCATCTCTCTCTCTCTCTATATATATAGCATTGCCGTCACATACTTGCTTGATATCACCTCATTGGTTGTAATTGAGTGTGATCATATGTTATGTAGGAATTGAGCATTTTTTTTGTTTGATTTTATGATATCTTGCTAGTTGTGTGCTGTTGTTTTATCGAGACAGTAGAACTGTATTTCTATATGTATGCATTCTATGGAGCTATAACTAAATAGAAATAGACACTTGATTGTTCAATTTCTTCTGCATAGTTGAATTGTGCCAATCCAATAAGGTTAGATATTACTTTAGTCCCAATGTCAGAGAGCTTGCATTCATGAGGGCTAGCTTGAAAGGGTATCTATAATTTGATGAATTATCTCGCAAACATGTATCTATGATTTGATGAATTTTCCTTTTTTGTGGTTAAATTTAATCACATTAGCAGGGATTGTATTTGATTTTTGAATGTTGAAAGTACTGGAGATTAGAAAACTCGAAGCATGATGAATGTAATGCCCAACCCACTAGACCGACCGTAATTGACCCTTCAAATCAATTATGATGAATGGTTGATTTTGAACTATATTTTCTTACGTAGTGGTGATGATATGTACGGTATTTATTGTTGTAGCCTTTGGCAGGGTTGCGTAATTCATATCTCCACCTGGATTGGGTGGGTCATCAATTGGCAATAAATAACTCTTTCCATCAGGTTACTCCTACTCAATAAATAATTGTATTTAGTTGTGCCCTGCTACAAATGTTCATCCCAAGCCCTAATAAAATCGGCTAGCGGTCTCCATTGGTTACCAAGCCGGTGTTCAAACCCTAATTTTATAGTGATACCTCAAGTATGGTTTATAGAAAATAGAATAACATTTCACATCTGCTATGAACATTTTGTAAGCATGCTAATATTTCTTTTTCCTATGCTTCATGTGGAATTTGTCTTTGGTTTCAATGTACCATGATTTTGCATCTATTAATGGAAGCCTCCTTTCTCCAGTCTATAACTGAGCATGGTGCACTTTCGTGCTTGCTGAATCTGTTAACCCATAATCATAAGAAGAGCATCAAGAAAGAAGCTTGTTGGACAATCTCAAACATTACTGCTGGAAATAAGGAACATATATAGGTAAGCATTTAACTATTTGCAACTGAAATACTCAAATTTAACTACTAGAAATGCTCAATTGACTGCTCCTTGGAATTTTATATCTATTTGTTACACCAACAAGTTGATGATCATGACTTTACTTTATATGAATTTACCTCATTTTACTCGGTTACAGTATAGTATCACCATTTTAATTATTTCAAATTAAAATAAAATTCCAAAAGTAATGTATTGTCAAAACCTTAGGAAGAAAACAATGTGAAATAACAAAAGAGCACATTATCACCTATTACCTTGAAGATTTATTTGTTAGCTTGGTAGTAATTACACTAAGTGGCTATTAGCTGTTTATTGATGCATCCATCTACACTGACAAGGAAATTGTCAAATTTACGTAATCTAACATGATACATGTTAGGTCATACATATGCATTTGGCTTCATAAATTCAGTTGATTCAACACAAAAGAGCACATTAATACATGTTTGCATTTCATGATTCACATTATAGCTAATAATGTCTGGGACAACTTAATATATACAAGAACTAAAATGAATTAAGGAAAAGAAAATATAAATGGATGAAGAAAAGAAACATACACCAATAGTGCCAAAGCCTTCCCTAACTATTCAATAATTGCCCATTGTACACTAAAGATGGTCTTGGTTTGATAAAAGGTTTCCAAAATTTTTCATTGCTAATTCTTAAATTACATAGTGAAGTCAGTAACTTGATGTGAACTTCTAAATACTGAAGTCAAATTTCTTCTTCTTGTTTCCTTTTGGTATTAATCTATGCTAGGACAAAGATTATGTTATTCATGTTCATTTTTCAAATTCTTTGGTTTATTCATCAATCTGATTGGATTGGGTAACCATTTTCTTGTTTATTTATTTGTGCAAATTACGAATTGGCATCTATATTTTTGTAATTTACTCCAAGCAAAAGAATTTAGAGAATGAACCTTTTTTTTTCTCTTGACAATTTCTTTTGAAATAGTTTTATTTTTTTTATTTCAAGTTAAACTGCATTCAATTTTCAAGTCACGTGTATATGTTGTTGTAGGTTTTGTTGAGGGAGTAGTTGTTATAATTGAGCGGGTGATGTTTGGGAGCCAAACTGATATTATGTTGCTTTTTTTTTTTTTTTTTGAGGACTTGAATCTTTTAGTACAATATATTGATGGATATTTGTTTTACATGCATGAAAGTTTATATTTTGTTTGCACACTTACGTGTGAATACGTTAATATTTCTATTATGAGTTTAAATAAATTTGTTAATTTTGTTATTTTTTATTAAAAAAATTGTTAGACGCTTGCAATTGATTTTTTTGTTGTAGCAAACGTATATATGATTTTATTATAAAAATAATGATTTGCGACGGTAAAAAAATAGTCGCTAAAAGTGTTTTTGATTTTTTTTTTTTTGGTGACAGCAAAAAGTAGGTTAGGCAGTCACAAACTGTTATTTTGTAGTCGCAAAAAGTATTTGCCACTTCCACATTAGCGTCCCCAATTTGCAGTCGCATGGACCGTCGCAAAAGGTTTTTTGCGACTGTATTTTTATTATTTGCAATGGCTTGTGACGGTTGCAAAAAACATTTTTTTTAGTAGTGATGTCTCTCTTTTTTTCTTTTTTTCTTTTTTAACTTGTAAATATACATTAATTGAACTATATTGTTGGGTCTTGGTAGACCCATATTGATTATTTGAGAATTATTTATTCTGTAAAATCCTCTAGTCAAATTA